TGACCTGCCCCAGGCACCGCGGCTCATGGGACAGGGTGGGGGGCCGGGGGGCCCAGAGCTGGGGGAGCCACGGACAGAGATTCCAACTGTGTGGGTAGTAAAGGGGCCGGAGACCCCCCCAGTCCGTTATCAGCACTGGGGTGGGGGCGTCCCTTGGGCCAACCGAGCACTGGGCCGGAGCCAGACGGGCGTCTCCCTCTGCCCCAAGAGTAAGGGCCGTAGCTGGAGTCTCATGTGGAGAGTTCTACCAGGCCCTCTGGACCAGCAACGATCCCACAGCACCGGGGGGCACCTGGGAGAAGCACGAAAGGGCTTGTTTGAAAATGTAAGCCGTGGGCGCCGGAGGCTGGCAGCCTGGACTGAACGGCACCGAATGAGGTGACAGGTCGGGCGGGGCTGGGCCGTGACGGTGCAGGAAAGTCGCTCGTGTCTGACGTGGCAGAGCAGGGGAGCCGGCAGCGGGAGGCGAAGCGAGGGGTGACCCGGTCCAAGCAGCAGGCCGGGAGAAGGAGCTCTGCAGCAGCATTGCCGGGCAGGGCCGGGCTGCGTTTGTCCAGGCCAGAGAGCCGGAGGTTGCACTAATCGAGACATGAGCCGGTGAGAGCCTGGGGGAGCGTTTTAGCTGCGTGGACGGAGGGGAGAGGCCGGATCCCAGAGATGCTCCACAGAAAGAACTGGCAAGACTCAGACACAACCTGGCTGTGAGGCCTCGAGACGCCCCGGTTCCAGGCTGGCGTGACGGGCAGGACGGTGGGGTAGAAGGGAGGCTGCGGGGAGGACAGGCGATGAAGAGCTCTGTCTGAGCCCTGCTGAGGGGGGTGATGGCTGGACATCCATGAGGAAAGAGAGATGGGCTGACAGAAGCTGGCAGGTCTGGGGCAGAGGCAGCTCTGCGAGTCCCAGCACAGAGCTGGATGGTGTGAGTGTGAGTAGGAGCCAGGAGAGACGGGGACCAAGGACGGAGCCCTGTGGGCTGCAGGGGGGTGAGGAGGAGCCTCCGAGGGACACGCTGAAGGAGTGTCAGAGAGGCAGGAGAACCAGGAGAGGACAGAGCTGTGGAAACCAAGGGGGGAACCGACTTCCAGGAGACGAGCATGGTCGATGCTGCGCCAGGTGACTGAAGCTCGAACGTCAGTTCCGAGCTTTGGCCAGGACAAGTCACTAGAGAGAAGCTAGCCCGGGGCCGATCAGGGAGGGAGACCCAGAGAAAAAAGTACGCCCACTGCACCGGCCCCTCTCCCAAAGGGGCCAGCCCGGCCAGCAGCAGGGGAGGTCTCTCCCCAGCCATCAGCCACTACACGGTGCCCCACCTGGCAGGCTCTGAGCCCTAGAGACAGGAGAGGCCAGAGCACCCCTGGGCTGAGCTGCAGACAGACCCCAGAGGGCACCCATCTCTCACCCCTGCCTGGTGTCAGACAAGAGCCCGCACTGGAGACAGGGAAACCAGGGTGCAGAGCCGCGCTGGGACAGCTCACAGGCCCCATCCCCACACCTGGAAATCCACCCTACTCTCCGCATCGCTGTCTTACCCCTTCCTTGCCAGAGTTTACTCATCTCCGGCTGGGACCACCTTCTGGGGCAGCTCTGGCGGAGCCCATGAGATGAGCCGGGAAGACTGGGCTTGGGCCCCGAGCCCTCCAGACTGGAGCGTGCTGGGGGGCTCTGCCTTTCCTGCAGGGAGGAGGCAGAGTTCTGGGGGTGTGCTTGGCTTTCCCAGCCTGCACGGCTGCTCTGCATCTGCCCCCGTTTTGCTGTCAGGCCGAGCCCGAGGTGCGGCCCCTGCCGCCCGGTCACCACAATGCCTGTCGCTAGCTTCTCGACGCAGGCTAGCCGTCTGTCCCAGCATCCCCGGGCGATGCTCTGGAACTGCTGCCTATGAAGCCAGGCAGGACTCTGGTGAGGTCTCCTCTCTGGGAGCAGCCTGTCTTCAGGACACACAGTTCACACGGCTTCCACCTTCCTGGGTCTGACCTCGGAGCATTCAGCATCCTCTGCCCCTCCGTGCGCTTCCCACAGCAAGTCTGCCCAGGCAGGGTCCTGGGGAAGCCAGAGGGTCCTGCCCCACAACTCCGCAGTCAGATGGGACTCTCAGCCAGCCAGGAAAACAGAAGGTTTATTAGATGACAGGAACATGAGCTAACACAGAGCTTGTAGGTACAGAGAACAGGACCCCTCAGCCGGGTCCATTTTGGGGGGCAGTGAGCCAGACAACCCCGTCTGCCCTTCACTCCTTGTCCCCAGCCAGCCCCAAACTGAAACTCTCCCCAGCCCCCCCTCCTCTGGGCTTTGTCCCTTTCCCAGGCCAGGAGGTCACCTGATTCCTTTGTTCTACAACCCTTTAGCTCTCACCTTGCAGGGGGGAAAGGCCCAGGCCATCAGCTGCCAGGAGACAGCGTGTGGGCCATTTATGTACCCTGGCCTTTTGCTCTGCAACAATTACACCCCCTTATCCCACCACCTAGAGACTTAAGAAATGCCTATGGGAAACTGAGGCACCCCTACAGTATTCAGAGGAAACATTAAGAACCGTGCCACTTCATCACACAGTCTATTTCCAAGCACTTGTTCAGCTCGTCATGGATTTACGTTTTCCCAGTTGAGCAAGGGAAGTGGGGTTCAGATGGGGGGCCAGGGGGAGTCAGATAATAGTTATGTCCTGGCAGCAGACATGGCGACTGTCAGCCTCACATGCAAACCACACCCAGCCATCAGCGAGCTCTCCGGCAGCCCTGCTCCTCTACCTCGCTGGGCCTGGTGCCGGTGGGGGTGCGCCCAGTGAAGTCTGGGATTATCGACATTTACCAGTAAAAATCTGGTCCTTGCAAGCCAGGTCCGGCCCAGGAGCTCTGGGCACCCCCCATCCCTAGCGATATCCCAGCATCCCGCGAGCCCCCGCGGCTGCCCCAAGCTCTCTGTACAGGCCCCAGGCACGGTAAAAGGGCTCTCCCTTTCGGGAGGCCACGCACAGGTTAACCCCAGCCTGGGAACTCACTAAGCGGCCCTGGCCTTCAGGCAGAGTCACTCTGCAGACGGGAGCCAGGGCCCTGCAGCACACGCAGACACACGGCCCCGCAGGGGGGAATCTACTGCCTCAGCCTCCAGTGCCTGGCTTGAGCCCAAGGGACGGGCTGGCTCCCAGCCACTGCAGAGAGAAATCCCCTTGCCCGCCAGACGTGATCCCCACCCAGTCCAGCGTCTCCGGTGGGAGCAGGTGGAGGCTGAGCAGCGTGGGGCCTAGCCAGGCATCTGCAGAGAGGGGGTCCAGCGTTGTCTCTGGCTTTCCCCAACTTGCCTGTAGTCTCTGGCCTTTTCCTCTGGAGATGCAGGTCACAACAAGACTTGAACCCCAAGTCAGCAAGGCGGGGTCCTCCCCTGTTGTCTGCACCCTCCTCCCCGCACAACTCCCGCTGCGACCCCCAGCAGTGGGGCAGGTCCATGGGGAGGTGCACACTTGGAGCCCTGGCAGACTCCCCACAGGGAGCCTGGCCCACTGCTCCGGCTTCTCCTCCCTTCCCAGGGTCAGCGGTGGATTCCTGTATGGGCCAATGGTGCCCGTGTCCAGGGGCCCCTGCCAATTAGGGGGCCCCCAGAAAAATGGACACACCCACACCCCGACTGCCCGGTGCTCCTGCCGTGGAACAGGGGAAACCCCTGCACCGTGACCCCATTTCCCTGGCAGGTGCGCGGGGTGGACTGAAGGCCAAAGGGGTGGGGTGGGGCCCCTACTTGCTCTGGCCCCATATCCACCTCTGCCTGGGGTCGATCCCAGGGGTTGGCTTTGACCTGCTCAGCTCCTGCCTCTCCTTCCCCTCCAGCTGAGGAGCCTTCACTGCGGGCCCAGCACACCCCCAGGCAGGCTGGGAAGGCCGCTCTGCTGCCCCAGGGGGGGTGGGTGTGTGCGAGGGAGAGTTACACTGGCACATTTTAACTGCTCCGTGGCTGCTCAGGACCCTGCAACCAGGACACAGCCCCCCGCCGGCGGCAGCGAGGTGGAGAGCACCCACCCCCCTGGAGCGAGGCAGGGCCTGGGGCTCACCAGAGCTCGTCCGCAAGCTCCCTGAGGATGCGACCGAGTCCTGGCACCCAGCTGAGGCTCTGATCCCTGCCGCAGGGACCCCGGTGTCCCTGGCACACCGTGGCGTGCGCACCGTGCTGACGTGTGCTGCAAGCCTGGTGCACAGAAGGAAGTAGCGGGTTAGCCTCCGAGGTCTGTTCCTTTAACAGGTGTTCCTGGCCCGTGTCCCCAGGACAGGAGGGGGCTCCAGGCCGGCAGGCCTCTAGCCAGCTGATGGAGACATAAAGGCCAAGCTCTGCATCGAGGGAGAAACGTAAAGGGGCCAGCGTGCACTGAGCAGGAGCCCTGGCCTCTGCACAGCCCTTGCTGGTGGCTGGCTCCTCGAGGGTTAACGCTCCCTCTCTGCCCCATTAGCAGCAGCAGGACTGATCTGGTCACACTGCAGGGAGCAGGGGGAGCCTCTGCGGGGTCGGTTCCCCAGCAATCAGAGCCCCTCTCCCCGAGAGCTCCCAGCCCATCCCCCCCCTCCACACTCAGGGGGAACCCCCTTCCCTTCACGAGCCCCCACAGGCTGCTGTATGGCACCCCCCCCACCCAGCTGCCACCTCTGGGGGGGAGGCTATGTTTGGACCCCCGCGAGGGCTCCCCGAGGACAGACGGGGCCTCACATCGGACACGGGGGTATCGGGATGTGCCAGATTCCCCAGGGGAGAGAGGCAGAGTGCGTTCGCACGCACACACGGTTCTACGGGCACACGTGTCCGTCTCCACGGTGCAGACCCACACGTGTGCACGCCCTCCAAGCGGAGTCGAGGCCGGGAGTCAACGCGTGAAATCCACAGACCTGCTGGGCCGAGCGCTCAGCGCCCCGGGGCCGCCCCCCGCCCAGCCCGTGCTCTCAGGGTTAACGCTCCCCAGCCCCAGCCGGAGGCAGCTCAGGTAGGCGTGAATGTGCGGGGATCCGGTTCTGCCTGCGCGGAGCAGGAGGAGGGGCCTGGCTGACCACTGGCTGGTGCTATAAAGCTCCCGGCTCCTGCCACACTCAGCGCCTTCAGCTGCACATGTGTGCAGAAAGGGAACGCCAGCTGTTACCGTGAGGGGACTTAACCCCTTCTGGGCCGCCCAGGCTGGAGGCGCGGAGGGGAAGGAATCCCGTTGCTGCGAAGCCGGATCTTGCTCTGAAAGCCAGCGGAGGAGCTCCAGGCTTCGGGGGCAGGCGGCGGCTCGCCTGCTTCGGGGCTCCAGGGCTTTCAGGGACGGAGGCAGCATGAGCGAGTGGAGCTGAGCTGTTCTGGTACCGGAGGAACTTTGGGGAGCCCGTTCCCGGCGGAGCTGCCTCGCCGTTGCCCTTGCCAGGTGCGCCCCGAGATGTCCTTTGCCATGCTGCGCTCGGCCCCCAGCCGGTACCTCTACCCCGAGATCAGCATGCTGTCCGAGGACGAGGAGAACGGGAGCGAGAGCTCCGGCTCCGAGGAGAAGCCCTACCACCTGGACGCCGGCACCTACGGCCTGAAGGGCGGGAAGCGCCGGAGCGGCAAGAAACCCAACCGGATCAACCGGGAGCCCCGGCAGCGCCACACGGCCAACGCGCGGGAGCGCGACCGCACCAACAGCGTCAACACCGCCTTCACCGCCCTACGGACGCTCATCCCCACCGAGCCGGCCGACAGGAAGCTCTCCAAGATCGAGACGCTGCGGCTGGCCTCCAGCTACATCTCCCACCTGGGCAACGTGCTGCTGCTCGGGGAGGCCTGCGGGGACGGGCAGCCCTGCCACACCACCCCAGCCTTCTACCACCACAGCAGCAGCAGCAGCCCCCCGCTGCGGGAGAGCGAGAACTCGCAGCCCAAACAGATCTGCACTTTCTGCCTCAGCAACCAGAGGAAGCTGGTAAGTGGCTGCTCGGCCTTTCTTTCTGCGCCTTCGGGCGGCGCGCCGGGGTGCTCAGCCAGGCAGGGCGGGGGAGCAGCGAGAGCCCAACACGGAGCGGATCCTGCCCCTCCGCCCGCCCGGGGACGCTCGGCGCCTCCAGCTAGAACTAGCTCAGCGCCGTTGCCATCGATCGGCCCTCGCGAGCGTGGGGGAGACGGCAGGGCCAGAGCGGGAACGTAGCCAGCAGGAGGAAATCCCCGTGACGCTGGGAACTGCCCTGACTCTAGCTGGGGAGATCTTGCAAACCAGACCCCTCGGGCAAGGCAGAAAGAGACACAGCCAATCCCGCTGCCTCCCCCGGCATACCTAGCTTCTCTCCAAAGCCCCCGCCGGTGGCTGCTAACTCCTGCCCTTACTAGCTGGATGCGGGAGCGAGAAGGGGAGACTATCTGGGGGCTAGAGATTAATTTTAGGAGCTCACATACTCAGGGGACGGCTGAGGATAAACAGCTTAAATCCAGAGAGTGTCTGCAGAGGGAGGTCTCCTCATTAGCACTGCACAGGCAGACGCCAGGAGGCGAACTCGCCCGGTCTCCGCTACGGACCATCTCTAGGGCTTTAAGCACTTCAGCCACAGGCTCCCTTCTGCCCCACCCGCTCGAGGGAGCCGAGGGCCCCTGCTAGCCAGCTCCAGCTCCAGCCCCTGGAGAGCTCAGCGCATGCCTGCCGAGTGTGGCGTTTTGGGGAGCTGGACAGACACCTGATGGGGGGGGGGAGGGAGAAGCACTTGGAACAGCTCATACCAAGCCAATGCCCCCCAAATGCTCCTGAGACGCCCCACTCTGGCGCGCCCCTCTTCACTGCTCAGGGACCCACGTCCCTGCAGAAAGAGCAGCCATGCCAACCGGCCTGGGCCACGCTGCTCCCTGGCACGCGGCGCCAAGGCCCGGCTAAGTCAGCTCCAGTGTGTGGGTGCGGTTCTCCTCTGGTCTCCCAGGTCAGGTCTCCGCTGTGGCGGGTATGCAGCTCCCCAGGCAGGGCAGAACGCTTGAGGGAACGTGGCCTCTGCCTGGTACCTGCCCTCTGCCAGTGATTTCACATGCCCGGCACTCACCTGCTGCCCCCGGAGTCGGGCTGCTAGCTGCTGGCTGGGATGCACAGTCCAGGATCAGGGGCAGGATGGCGAGGCCTCTGCTCCTCCGGAGAAGGGGGAAGGCAGAGATGAGAAGGCCCCAGACTCGCTGGACTAGGCACACGCGCCCACAACAGCTGCTCAGCCGGGACTCCCCGAGGAGCTGGAGCGGCCCCGCACCCGAGCCCACCAGCTTGCAGGGAGACATGGTGTGGGGCCAGCTGCCCCCCGGCTCTCCCAGCAGAAGTGGGAGCTCCCCCGCTCCCCCCTAGCATAGCAGAGAGAGAGGCAGGAGCAACAGCACAGACCTGAAGGACAGCTCTGACCCCTGGGCAGGGCTTTGCCACCCACAATGGGAGCATCAAGGGGCCCCGCTGTCAGGCCAGTGTGCAGGTGAGAGCCCTGGGGCTGGGGGGCGGCTACAGAGCAGCCTAGCTCAGGGGCTGGAGGCTGCAGCATGGCAGGTCAAGAGTGAAACCCGAGGGACAAACAGGCAGGAAACCCCAGGCAGATCTGTCCTGCTTGGCAACCGGGGGGGTTTGAAACCCCCCCACCAAGCAGACACACTCCAGAGGGGCTTCGGGGGCGGCTCCCTACCCAATCCGACCAGGGCAGGGGGCCCATACGGAGCCTCTGGGGACCCAGAAAACGGTGGCGACAGGGAAGGGAGATTCATGAGCAACTGGTGGGGCCTTGGAGAGAGCCCACAAACATCCCTCCTGTTACCATAAACGAGTGGGGGGTGGACACGACAGCAAGGGACCACTTCCATTCAGTCCTCAGAGAGAGGCCCCCCCCAGCAGTGACTCAGGTCACAGAGACGGACTCTCAGCAGCACAGCACAGGTATAAAGCACCATGCTTTGAGGGTAATCAGTCCACCCCTCGCTGCCCACCTCAAGCGCCCTGCGGCCACGGATCTCAGAGCACAGCCACACGCTTCCAGCCTCCTAGCCCAGCCCCCGAGGCAGGTTGGCAAGATCCCATTGTAGAGTGGGAAGCCTGGTACCCAGCAGAGCCGCGACGGACCCTCCTTCTAATGACTAGCCCTGTGGTTTGTGTACCACCGCCCGTCCTCATGCCGCGCTAAGTTCCCCCTCTTGCTGACACTAGCCCGTCACCTCGATTCCTATAAACCACGGCCCATTAGAGCCGCCCGCCTTGAGGCAAACCCCGCGCTGGGCATGCCTAGCCACCCCATGCCCAGAGGCACGGAAAGGCACAGCTATGCCCGAGCCCTGATCGGAGAGCGGCAGCCTTGTTTGACCTTTAGCTTTTCGAGACAGTTCTCTAAGGTTTGGCCATTGGCTGGATTCTCACGTAGGCCGGAGAAAGGTGTGTTTGCCATAGCAGGGTAGCTATCCCGCTGGTGGACGTGAGGGGGACCCTGCTTGAGGCCAGAGTGCTGATCTTGCCTGGTCTCCACGGCAAATTTTCCCGCAGGAGAACTCTCTGGGCTTGTTATCTTGCTCTAAAAATTCCCCACCGCTTTCAGCAGCAAAGACCAAGTCTTCAGTCACAGGGTTTTCAGCACATAGCAAGGAAGTGAAATTAATCTTCTCAGCAGTTGTAAAGACAGCATCCTGGGGACCTGCCTGCCTGCTTGACACTAAGTGGAAGGGACCTCTCTTGGCTGCTGAGTGCTAGAAAGATGACGCTATCCACATTCTGGAGAAATCAGCTCCCTATAAACCCACTTTCCATGCACTCTAAAAACCAGAGCCGCTGCCCGGGCACATGCCAGGGATCAGACACGGGCAGGAAGAGCTCAGAGATTCTGACGTAGAAAACGTTTCTCACTCACACATGAGTTCCTCTCATTGCAGAGCCCACCGGGAGGGGAATTTGCCCATGTGCCCGTGTACACAGACCTTTACATTTATTTTATTGGCACATGCCAAGTACAAAATCCCCCCTGTAAACGGCTACACGCAGAGCTGCCACTGGCGGCTCTGTGAGGCAGGCGGGGAGGCAGTGAGCCCACCAGGACAGGAGCTGCGGGAGCTGGATGCAAGGTGCAGGGAGGGCCCAGGACCTGGCTAGCTTCGCCCTCACTCCTCCAAGCACCCTCACCCCAAACGAAGAGGGAGCAGCTTGGCACGTAGGGCTGGGGCTGCAGGAAACCAGCAGGCTTGGCTCCAGGCTGGGGCGGGGGAGGAGAGCGCGGCACACAGAGCAGAGACCCTGGCTAGCTGGCAGGAGTCACACAGTGAAGCCTGGGAGGAGCTCAGGCAGGGTAACCCACCCCCGTCTAGGGTCCCGAACAGCTGCAAATACCCCCGGGGGCTGGGACTTGGCACAAACCAGCTGACGCTCCTGCCGCGTCTCCACCACAGGCGGGATGAACGGCGCGACCGACAAAGGGGTGACGTGGCTTCCCACGGGGGTGCTGAGACTCTCACTTCAGCATCCAGGGCAGGAGACGTTCCCGTACTGCAGAGATCCTCCGTTAACCCCCACCCCCAAAAGGCGAGGCCCCGCTCAGCTACACCGCCTCACGCAGGCCTGGGCAACCCAGGCCATTCTCTAAACAGATCTAGCTGCAGGGGTAGGACAGGGCCGTACGCTGCGCTGGGACTGAGCCTCCAATGTGCAGGAGGCCAGGGCCGAAGCGGGAGGCGTGCTGGCTCTTTCTCTGTGCTTCCCCGACCTGCCCACCCCAACACATGGCTGCAGCTCCCACTTCTTTAATGGGGCAGGGGTCTGGGAAGGAGGGTCTGGCTTTGCCACCTGCTCACGGCTTGTGCCAGATTGCCCCCCCTTTGCTGCCTGGCGCACACGCAGAGCTAAGGGAATGCGCAGAGCAGGAGGGAGCGATGGGAAAACACGAGGCATGGCATTCCTACTTGTCTGGGTCTTGTGCGCACAGCACAAGGAGAGGGAAACCAGGGCTCAGCTCTCGGTAAAGAGCGCACCTCCTTCCCGCCTCCACGCACACGCTGCACCTGCTCTGGGGGCTGCAGCCCCCATCACACAATAAGTACGGGTCACTAAATGAAATTAACAGGCAGCAGGTTTAAAACAAACAAAAGGAATATTTCTTCACACAATGGACAGTCAACCTGTGGAACTCCTTGCCTGAGGATGTTGTGAAGCCAAAACTATAACTGGGTTCAATAAAGAACTAGATAAGTTCCTGGAGGATAGGTCCATCAATGGCTAGTAGCCAGGATGGGCAGGGATGGTGTCCCCAGCCTCTGTTTGCCAGAAGCGAGGAACGGGCGACAGGATGGATCACTTGATGATTCCCTGTTCTGTTCATTCTCTCTGGGGCACCCGGCATTGGCCACTGTCAGAAGACAGGACACTGCGCTAGATGGACCTTTGGTCTGACCCAGCGTGGCTGTTCTTATGTTCTTACAGCCCCCTGCTCTCCCAGGGAGCCGCTCTACCACGGCGTCGGGGACATGGGAATTCCTAGGGCTCACTGCACTGTGGTACACGAGCAAACCCCGAAGAGCTGAAGGGAAATGGCTCTGAGCACCCAAGGACAAGCAGGGGAAGCAGTGTTACAGGTTCCTCGGCTGGTTTATTAGGGACTTAGAAAGGGACGCTGCCAACACTCCGTCCTCAGGTCCCGGCGGAGTGACGGCAGAGCTGGCTGGCGTGTCCGCACCAAACCTTGGGACCGTCTGTGCTGCTCGGAGCTGAGCCAGTGACAGGCCATTTCCCTTCGCTTCTGGCCAGCGCTGCACCGTTGGGCTGCAGCCACCCAGGGCGGGGCAGGACGATTCCTGCTGGGCCTGATTTGCGGGCAGATTTGACCTGTACAGAACCGCAGCTCCCTGCCGGGCCCCTGGCTGAAGGCGCCTGCCTGGCTCTGCCACCAACTCAGGAAAGAAGCTGCTCCGGGGAAGGCCCCATGCCTCAGGCCCAGCAAGATCCCAGCCACACGCCAGCATGGCTGAGAGCACTGGCAGGGACAGGTCCTGGGGCAGGCAAGCCCCAGGTTCTCCTCGGAGCCAGTCAATGCAGCACCGCAGCCTCTGCGGTCCGGGGGAGAGTCACCATCTGCTCTGGAAAGATGGAGCAGGGGGCGCATGCAGAGTTTACAGCCAGGAAAGCGAGGTCTCGGGGCACCACTCCAGGGAGCATGGAGATCCTGGGAACTGAGCAGCCTCTAAAGGCCGCTGGGGAGCAGGAAAGGTCGGGAGCAAGAATAAGGCCTGGAAAACCCGCTTCAGGGGGTGAAGAGGCACTCTGCGCCCCCGCCCCCTGTAACCTTCCCCACTGGCTGGAAAACAACCTTCACCCTGGGAACCTAGCTTGAGAGAGGCCTGGCCCCGGGCAGCAAAGCCCCACCGAGCCCCTGGGGCGACTGGGGAAACCACTCTGCCATCTGCTTCCACGCCTCCTAGAGCATCAGAGCCAGGCGTCCCGCTCTGCCAGGCCCCTCTACCCTCCCAAGGTGGGAAAGCACGGCTCACTGGGGGGGCTGCTCCGCCGGCAGGGCTCTATGCCAGTGGGCCATGTCCTCACAAGCGAGGCCCCCTTACTCTGGAACAAGCATGTCCACACAGGGAGTTACTCGCGAAAAGCAGTTTCTGATTGGCTCTGTGTTTAGCTAAGCCCTTGGGAGGGACATGGGAAGACCGAAGAGACACCCCCACCCCCCGATGCACCATGGACCCCAAGTCAGTCCACAGGTGCGATTGGATGGGCCATATCTGACCGAACAGACAGGTGGGGGCTCAGCTGACGGCTCTGGAAACCATTAGGAATGGCATGCAGGTCGGCGCTCTTTCCACACTGCCCAGGGCGGGCACCACGCCCCCCGTTCACAGCAGGGGGGCTCCTAGCCAGGCTCAGGGGGACGGGCCTCAGGAGCAGCTGGCATGGGCAGCTGCTTGTGGGTTCTAGCCGTGTGGGGCTCCATGATGCTGATTTGCCACTGAGGGCGGGTGGGACTGGGCGAGCCCGGTCAGATGCTAGGTGTGGGATGCAGATTCACTGCGTGTAAGCCCAGACCCAGCAACGTGACCAGAAAGTGCACAGGCCCTGGGCGAGCGGAGAAGGGGCCAGAGATGGGTCACATCCAAGCCTTCCCATGGCCAGTCCTCACACCACAGCCGGGACAGAATCATAGACTATCCGGGTTGGAAGGGACCTCAGGAGGTCATCTAGTCCAACCCCCTGCTCAAAGCAGGACCAATCCCCCACCAAATCAGGCTATCACTTAGCTCCCAGCCCATCAGTCCCCTGCTCAGGGCAGGGCAAAGGGCTGGGATGTGGAAGACCAGCGGAGCTGCCATGGGCCCTGCATCTGTCAGGGTAACTGGACAGCGACAGCCGCTATTAGGAACTGATGGGCCGGGATGCAGAGAGAGGCCAGCTCTGCCTAGCACCCCGGCACCGAGACCGGCGCGGGTACGCAGCACCCATCGCGGGTATGCAGCCATTACGTCGGCATCCCCTCGGACGAGAGGGGCGCCGACCCGGCACCGCAAGAGAAACAAGAGACAGCACAAAGGGGTTCTGTATCTGCAGCTCGGCTGGCCCAGAAAGCTCCACCCCAGAGCTGCTGGGTCTCTAGGAGCGGCCACATGGGGTCCACAGCTTGGCAGGAGGTTAAGTGGCACAGAAAGCTGAGGAACCAGCCTCACCCCCTGAAGAGCTGGGGGCACAAACGAGAGGAGTTTCTGAGCAAAAGTGGGGCGCTTTGTTCTGACCCAGCTTCCCCGTGCAGGGCCATCGGGCGAGTTGGGGCAGAAGGAGGAAGAGACCAGGAAGGGGACAGCCGGACAGGACTGAGGTGACTGGCAGAGTCGGCCTGGACCTTACCCCCCTGCCACTCTGTGTCAGCGGCACCCCTCTGAAGAGGGGTAGACAAACTGGAGGAGGGGAAATGATTAACCCTGGAACTGCCCCAGCCTGGGGTGCCCAGAACAGACCTAGTCAGCCGGGCGTTGGCCTCCCCGCTGGTACCTGTGGCCCGGAGACTCCTAGAGGAGGGAGGCCCCTTCCTCAGGGCACCTGCGCCTTGAGCCAGAGCTGCAGGACGACCTGGGCGGCCCGAAGAGCAGATGCCCTGGAACCTACAACCTGTGATGGGCCCAGAGAGCTTGGCAGCCCCTCGGAAGGCACTGGGGTGGGTAGGGGGCACAGAGCCCTGCACATTACCGGTGACAACACCCCACGCCCTTGCAATGCCAGAGAACCCCTGCCTCATCCCAGCCGGACGGTGCTGGAGAGACCCTGGCTAGGAACGCGCTGGCTCCAGGCTGAATGACCCTTCCAGCAGCCAGAGCTGGTTACTGCCCCCCATCTGTGGTGGGGGCACCCCTGAGCGCCAGCTCAGCGGCCAGTGGGTATTTTACCCACCTCCCCCAACTCCAGAGTCAGAGGTGGGAAGGCTGACCATTCCCCCGGACAGGGCTGGGACCTGTCCATCCAGAACAGCTTCGGCACCCTCCCCATCACGGCGCGGTGTAGGTGGATTCACAGCCAACAGACCTGGGGAGACCGGGAAGGGTTTGGGGGTAACCAGCGTGAAGGAGAACTCACAGGTGCCATGCTGAGAAGTGATTTGCTGCTATTCTCTGGGTAACACAAGCACAGGCCATGGCCCCCGCAGCCCCGTAAGGGAAACCCACACTCTGCGAAGCAGGCATTGGAGCCCTCCCCGAGGAGAGCTGGGACCTGGCAGACACTCCCCAGCAGGCATTAAATCACTTGCTGAGCCCTGGCACCGGATGATGACCCAGCTGCTGGGGGTGGGGAGTGAATCCAAATAGCTGGCTAGCCCACAGTGTCCTGAGAGAGCCGTGGGGAGCTGTGGGCTGGGACAGTGCTGGGCTTGTGTGACCAATGGCCCAGCAGCTGGGCTACGGATGACTGCAGAGGCCTCCTGCAGGTGGAACATTAAGGACACGAGCATGCGGTCTGGACTCGCCAATGCCCAGTGGGGTAGCCAGAGCCCTGAGTCAGCCGGCGCCCCTTCCTGGTGCATGGCGGCCGGATGCCTTTTCCTCCCCCCCAGGATCTGCAAGATGGGCCAGCTCCTCAAGCCTGTAATTTACTGTTCCTGCTGCACTTAATGGCAGCGGAAAGGCAAGGTGATAGGGGAGGAAATATGAGGCGGGATTTTCCGAATCCCCATTTCCTCTCCAGACAGCACAAGAACTCCTGGGGCCTGAACATCTGGGAAATTTAATTTGGCCATTTTGGAGCTGAACGCCCCCCTTCCTCCTCCCCCATCCCCTGGCGGAACAGAGGCTGCATGTGCAGTACCCGGGGTGCCTCGGCCATGCAGCAAACCCTGCCGAAAGCTGGAGGACACGGGAGAATCCCGCAGCTGGCAGAGCCAAGATGCAGAACTGCCACCTGACTCCCCACCCCCCGGGGCACGGCCCCTGGAGGGTGAGACCCACCCAAGGTGCACACGCTCCCCGCAGCGAAGTGCAGCAGTAGAGTAGAGCGAGCACTCGCTGAGCTGCCTGCCCCGGCCAGTGGTTCGCTCGCCCTCGATTACTCGCTGGCCACCCCCAGGGAAGGGAAGGAGGGGCCGTGCCTGGGCCGGTTTTGTGACTGCGTGCAAGGTGCTTTACGGACAAACCAAGGGCCAGAGCTGTGCCCTAAGGAGCACTGCGTCAGGGCCTGACCCAGCTGCCCCACGTGCCCCAGCAGACATCAATGGGCACCAGAATGCAGGGAAGGACGCCGGGGGGGGTGGGGGGTGGGGCGGTCTGGGTCCCGAGAGGGGCTCTGTCAGCCCCACAGTTTGCTGTAGGGTTGGCGGAGTAACCGCACTGCGTTTGCTCTTGGACTTGGGGGAGCGCTCAGGAGGGGAGGTGGGCAGCAGGGCAGCCAAAGACAGGGACATGATGCAGAGACACGGGGCAGGGATGTGAGTCCGGGCATCGGGGGCAAAGTGAGACCAGACAGGGGAACAGGGCGAATTGGGCTGTCAGAGCCCTTCCTACAAGCCGGGAAGGGGATGGTCTGCGTAGCCAGGTGATGCCTTTAAATGTCCAGCATGGCAACCAGGGCAAAAGCAATGGGAGCCATTCCACGGCTTCTCTAGGGAGAGCAGACCCCCCGGGGGCGAAGGCGGCCGATGCCTGCTGGAGGAGGGGTGCTGGCCAGGCTCCTAGACCAGGTGTGTTTTTCTAACTCGGCCTCTCCCTCCACCCCTTTGCAGAGTAAAGACCGAGACAGGAAGACGGCGATTCGGAGCTAGACAGATTCGGAAAGGAGGAGCGGAAGGAGGAGGGATGGAAAAGCCACACACACCAAACAAAGACACAGACATTCCTGCCTTCCCCCTGCTGCCATGGAGAGCTGCACCCGGGGGAACGCGCCGACCCCGGACACACCGAACATCTTCCTGGCCAGGCTGTGGTGGCAGATGGCAGACAGGGACCTGGGAGCTCCAGGAGGCTTCATAGATGGCAGGACTTCGAAGGACCATGCCCGGTGGCACCGGGACACGGCTGCGACAGCGAAGACCATGCCTGCTCCAGCCCAGTGAACCAGAGGGGCTGGAAAAGATGATCTATAGACTCCCTGGACGGGACCCCTGCCCTGATGTTGGGGAATGACCCAGGACCGCTCCTGCGGAGGGAGTGAAGGACACTGCCCTTCACCGGGTTTTGTTGAGCAGCACTAGAAAAAACTATGTACAAAATACCCCGCTCCTCCACCCTGCCCCGTACCCTGAGTCCCAGGTGCTGCGCTTGATCAATACATGCTGGTGGTTCATGTCATTGATACAATAATATAAAGCCGGAGTAATTTGTATAATTAAAACAAATATGGTTGAGAGATGAGGCACAAGCTCCCTTCCTTCCAAGCCCTGTCCGGCGCCACACAATAAACCTCTAGCTTCCCTGCACCAGTGTCTGCTTGCAGCCTTCCCCCCATCCCCGGGCTCACACAGCTCTAAGGCCCCAGCCAGCCCCAGGCTCCGGCCACAGAGGCATTGCTGCTCTAGGGAAGCAAGGAGCCACAGTACAGGACCGGAAGCCAGCAGGGCCTTCAGCACAGACCCGTGGCGTGGCCCAGGGCGAGTTGTTTGGTCCCCATATGGCCCAGTTAAATGCAGCTGGAGACCAAGGTAAAAAGCAGGGACTCAGTGAAAACCAGATGCTGCAGCTGAGCTGAGTTTCCTGGGGAAATAAATTACACACGTAGGCTGCGGCAGGATCAGTTCAAAGCGCCAGGCAGAGCAAAAGCTGCAGCGGGAGACTGTGCTCTAAGCCTCTTCGGCAGCAGGTGAGGGGCTCTGGGTTTTCTGCTGGTCTGCAAAGCTACCCCTGGCCCCCCTTGGCTCTGAGAGGCTGGAGGGAAGCACCCCTGGAGCCAGGGGGCCGCAGAAAGTGCTGGGCTCCCACTCACGTCACCAGCAGAACCGCAAAGCCGACAGCACTGGGGTGTATCTGAATCCCGGGGGCTAATCCATGCGTAGTCAGCCGGAATGTACTTTACCCAGAGCACTCACGGCCCCCACCTTTCTCTGCAAGGCTCCAGGCTGGCAAAGACGGAGCCTCTCGTGGGAGCCATTCAAAGCACGGAGTGGCCCCGCTGCCCAGAGCCAGGCTCTGCCGGGGGCGACTGGCCAGGAGGAGGAGGACAGGCAGGTGGGCGTAGGAAGGAAAGCGAGAGGCCGGAAATGAGAAGGTGAGGCCACAGGGGAGCGGCAGCACACAACACGGGGGGTGGTCGTGGGGGAGGACAGGAGCTGGGCTGGGCCAGGGCACCCAGTACCCACCCCAGGCAGGAAAGCATTCCCTGCCCCAAGAGGGGATGGGGCTGAAGGTCTTGGCGCCAAAGCCCTGGCCTCACCACAGAGGTGCATGGCTAAAGCTGGCAGGTCTGCTTCTCTGCTAGCAAGTCCGGGCCCTGGCTTGCAGCCAGGGAGAGAGAGGGACACTGTGCCGGGACTACCATCCCTACCCAAGCGTAACCTCGGTGCCAGCATGTCATGGTGTGCCCCGCTCACTGCCAGCGCGCATCAGCCACCAGCGGGAACACAGACAAGCCCAGGCCGCGAGCCTCCGCAGCACAGACCTCCCGCTAGCTCGCAGGGTCCGTACGTCAGAATGGAAAGGGGGAGCAGGGGCGTCTAACGAGACTCCAGCCCAGGCTGCGACATACCCAGGAGGAGCCTGGTGATTCCCACCCCTGGTCCCATTCTGGCACAGGGCAGAAGAGACGAGGCCCGTAAATATAAAGGAAGCAACCACCACAGCTATTCACCCACCCAGCAGGGCTCCCGCTCCCCAGGGCTGCTCTCCGAGAGCTGACGCGCTCCAGGGCGACTGCCAAGGAAACAGACACCCTGTGAGCTCGGGACAGTCCCACATGGGGGCGAGGAGCCAGGCAGAGCATCGGAGGGGAAAAACCCACGCCACGGCAAGTGAGAGTGGGAGGTAAACACATTCGCCGGCCAGGAATGCTCAGCGCTGGGACGCAGGCAGGCCAGGCAGGGGAGGACATTTTGCTGGCTTCCCTCCCCCAGTAATCAGTGCAGAGGAAGATGGGATTTGGGATTTCTGCTCCTGGCAAGCCAGGGCCAGAGAACAGGTTGGGCTCACCTGGCATGGCCTTTCCCTGGCACAGGAGGCCGTTGCAGGCTGAGCCGGGCTCTGGCCTTGCAGCTGCAAAGACAGGCTGGTCCTTGAGAGGGGGGAAGCGCATTCTCCCTGCCAGTCTGTGGGGCCGCTAGCTACAAAGCCAGTGCAGACAAGCCGTCCGAGCTGAGCGGGGACGTGACACGAGCCCGCTCCCCCAGCAGTCACGCAGCAGGCAGAGCCAGTCCTGTTTCAGGCCTAACGTGTCCGAGGACTGGGGGGTGCCTGAGCCTGACACATCGAACGTGCCCATCCCTTCCAGGGACCGGGGCTGGGGGGTTCAGGTCGGCATTGGGAACCGCTCAGCTTTACAGAGCTGGAGACTGTTATTCTGTGCGTTCCTGTTCGCGGTGGCAGGGCTGGAGAGAGGGGTTAGGAATGACTCTCGTCCTCCAGCGTGGAGCCTGGCAGAGGCGGCTGCAGGCAGCTCACGCTATCGTTAAAAACAAGTGGGGAGGGGGAGACTCTTTCAGGGCAGCGTTTTTAGATCCTTCAGATGAAGTCCTCACGCTCAGCGCGTAAAGGGCATTTCCCCATGCCAGCAGACGGTACTGGCTGACTCCCTGCACCCGCCAGGGTCAAGGGATGCCGTTTTACAGACGGGACAGAGCCTTGGCCAAGGCCACACAGGCAGGATTAGAACCTGGGCCCACAGACACAGCAGAGTCCCTAGACCGTGCTGCCACGAGAACACACTAGTTACGGCTGGAAGGGGATTTCTAATGCAACCTCCTCCGTTCACAAGCTCCCAAAAGCATTCCGTGGGGGGTGCAAGGTCATGAGCCCGAACAGCGAGGAGTGCGCGGAAGACACGATCAAACGTGTGGGCCTTCCCCTCGCGCGTGTGCCCCTCTCCTGCCCCCAGAGGTCCCACTAGCCACTTCCACAAGAATGTGCCAAGAACTTCACGCCAGGTGAACGTCACAGGTGCGAACCTGGGGGCAGGGCTGGCCCTCCAACGAGGAAGCAGAAGCAGATGCAGCAGTGAGGGAGTCATTGGGGTCATTCTCCTGCTGCAGAATTGGGGGGTCCGAGTGGCGTGGGAGTTGGGCCCAGCGCTGAGACGATAGCGGGGATCTCAGCTGCACTCAGCGCTGGCTTCCACACCACCGTCAGGGGCCCGTATGGGCAGCAGCTGCAGTGTGTCCAGCCGTTTGATCCAACGCAGGCCTGTTCTGCGCCTGTGTTTTGCTGCCACTCTGCCCCGCCCCCCACGGCGCAATGCAAAGGCGGGCGGGCGGCTGGCACAGTGCTGGGACCAGCGGGGGGGTGGGGAGGGATTCAGCACAGGGTGTTTGGGAGGGAAATGTTTGCAGACACACCCAGAGGATGGGGCTTCCCCCTCTGGCTGACCACACGCGAGATCCGTCAGAGGCCAAGCCTGCCCGTAGCCCCGCACTAGACACTGGGCAGATGTTAGTGAACACGTTGCCTTTCGGTCCCACCTGGTAGCTCCTGGAGACAGACAGATCGACCCGCCATGCAGAAGGGCTGAGCGCGCCCACATAACTTAGCCACCCTTCCTGGTGCACTGCCCGCGTACTCCCAGCCCAGCAGAGGCCAGTGCCCAAGGACATGCTCCCAGGTTTAGCAGGCCAGAAGAGTATTTCCTGCCCTAGAGGTCATTTCCGTTCCCCTGCCAGCACCAGGCAGACAAGTGGACATCTGTGCGGAGCTGAGAAGCAATTGTCCTCAGCTGCAGGGCAGCTCTGCACCAGGCCAGCCCCTGGCTTCCATCCCATATTTGCTTGGTGATGGCGCAGGTAGGTCCAGGACTCTCCTATCCACAGCTCAGGTGGACAGAGGAATAAACAGCAGCTCAAACTGGGTGACTGGTCCCCCCCTTTCGCCCAGCAAGTTCTTCCTCCTGCTCTGAAAATGAACCTGCTGCAAGATCGGAGGGGGCTGCTGGCAGACCGAGGGGCAGGGCAGTCCCTGGAGCCAAGCTCCAGAGGCGACAGGCCGTTGAACCCGTCCCTCAGCTTAGGGTTATCCTTGGGTGCACAGATGGTTGCTGCATTTTGGCCTGACAGTGGGATGGCGAGTGCTCGTTCCTAGACCCTGGCGAAAGCCGCTCCGCAGCTATGGACTGGCTCCCTGCAGCCACTTGGCAGCGGCACCCATGGTCCTGGGGTTCCTGGTCCCAGAGGGAGACTCACTAAGCTGCTGGATTCCCCTCGTTTCCTCTGGAGTTTGTTCCATAGGTGTGCTCCCCTGGGGGACGCTTTGTCCCAAGCACTCCCCGAGGAGCGCAGCGACCTCAGCTGGTCACAGATCAACGTTCAGCTTCAAAGCAGCTGGGGGCTGAGCCATTAACTAGGGGGATGATTAAGACCAAAGCCTCAGACTGGGATCAGAAGCCGACCGGGGCCAAGTGAGGCGCTGGATTATGTGCCTGATGTGCTCATGGCAGCTGGGACGGTGGACAAGGCAGGCAGCCTCATTCTGTACCAGCCACAGCCTCTGCCTGACCCTCCCATTCAGCTTCAGCGACAGCCCGGTTCTTCAAGGCATTTCTCCGTGCAGAGCAGCATGGCTCCGGCCTTGGCTGGGCTCTGCTGGAGCCAGCTGTTCCTCCTCTGGGAGCAGATTTCTCGCAGGCAAGCTGGCACTGTGGGCGTGGCTGCATCAACGAGAACAAGATCGATAACTGAGCGCCCCCGGCATGCTGCAGGCAGCTGACCCCGCCTCCCACATGGGCTCATGTCGACCCTGACGAGACACGGGGATGGCACGAATCCCTGTCGGCGCCTGGACAGGAGGTGCAGTTACCGACCTCCACTCCCCGAGTTATGCTGGAGAGGAACCACTGGAGCAAGTGCTGTGCCGGGCCAGCGACTGCTGCCGGTAAGTGCCCACCGCTCTGCAAAGGCAGAGTCAGGGTTGTGCTGCGGGGGGGTGGCGCTCCTGTCACTCATTTCCTGCAGTGCACTAGCTCCCCTTGACCCCCCAGGACACAGGATGCCCCTGAAGGGGGAAGGAGCCAAATCTCTGCCCTACGGTCTTGGTCAGCACTGCCGGGCTCCCAGAGAACAGAGATTCTAGGAGGACAAGCCCTTGTTTACTGAAGGATCTTTGGAAACTCAGCTTCCTGTCACCGGAGGAAGGGTGGCCCAATGGTCCAAGCACTAGCCACGGACCATGGGAAACCTGGCTTCAAGCCCCTGCTCCGCTATAGCCATCCTGTGTGAG